CATTCGTGGGTTCGGTTTTGGTTTGGGTTGTTTTTTTTTTTTCCTTGTCTACTCATTACTGTGTACCTAAACTATTCGGAAGTAGCTTCGAGCAAACTCTGCCCACCGAGTCTGAAATAGCACACCAAATGCTTCACTTCTTCCTGTTGTCTCCTTTTACCTAAACAAACAGAAAAAGAAGGAAATCGGTTTCATTTGGCCCTAGTTCAAGAAGCACTATGTCCAACCCATCTCCCATCACCATGGTTACTAAGGTTGACTTCTGTACATGTTTTGTTTTATTTTATTTTGTTTTGTTTTGTTCTATTATGTAGCCCTTCCAACAACAAGACAATGAATGGCACAGGGATTTTGCCTGGAGTTCTACTGTCATCTGTCCAGAAATGTCATACTTAGTTAAAAAAAAAAAAAAGGAGCAAGATGTCCTGAAATGTTTCATCGATGGACTGGTTTTCTTTAAAGGGCACAAACAAACTGTGCTCTGCATCATGGCAGCTCTCTGCTGGCTTCTGAGATATCCATATGCAGCCCATCTATACCCTCACGACCCAGCTTTCCAGTAAAACACTGTTCCTTTTCATAACATATATAACATAACATAATAATTTTGTTCAAGGTTAATTCTCAGCCCATCAGAAAGACGAAGTCAGGCAGAGGGGTAACTATAGCCATGAGCAACTGGAACGACACAGAAAATCTTGAAATCACCTTGCAGGTACAGGTTTGTCCCCTGAACAAAATGACAGAGTACTGGACATCCCCTGAAAAAGCAGGAGGAAGTGCATCCTGAATTAGTTAAAAATGGTTTTTAAAAAAATAATACATCATCTTTCCAAAGTTATCTCAGTCATCCATGTCTTCCAAGTGATACAGCTAGAGGGTGCCTGAAAGCAGCCGATGGGGTTTTGCTAAGGGTTGCCTCTATGTAGTGAAATTAGAATGCTTCTAATTCTCATGTTGTGCTTTCACACGCTCACTGAATTTTTGTAGCAAGCACACATCATTTTTTATACACCCAAAGCCAAAAGCATCACTTCTTTTAAAATCCAAAAGATTCTCCATAGAAGGCACAAGGAAACTTGGTGTACGATCAACTACAAGAAACTACTTGTCCCAGGTACTCAAATTACACCATCAAGTTTCCCACCCTGTTCTGGCTACGCAATACCAAAAATAAAAAAATACTGATGTAAAATCAGACAGGAGCCGAATATATGGGCTAGTAAGTCATGGTATCTCAGACACGCCTGGCGTGACTGTGGTTGGGATCAGTTCCTTGCAGATTCTTGTGAAAGAATTTAGGGTTGCAGCCTGGACCTTGTACTCACTGGAAGCAAGAGGTTGTGGTCTTTCTTTTTTTCTGCTTTCAGAGGCTGGGTCCATGTCAACAGAACCCAGAGACAACCACAAACCTGAGTCAAAGAACCACAAACAAGAGACCAAGAACTCTCTTTGTCCATCAGAACATGACTTACTCCCATACAATCTCTGTAGCTGGCTCACTTGCTGAGTCAATGATTGCAGTATCGATGTGGCCAAGGACCTAACAAAAGCAACCAATGAAGGGAAAGGTTTGTTTTGGCTCTTGGTTTCAGACAGTCTCAGCCCATCCTGGTGGGAAAGATGGGGTGGAATTAATAGTGTCAAGAGCTTGTGGCAGAGACTCGGTGGTAGATCAAGAAGTCGAGAGAGCAGAACCAAAATCAGGGCAGTTACTGTGAGAAGGTAGCTTTTAAATGCCTTCTCACAACAACCTCCTTCTACCAGCAATTCCCTCCTAGCTAAAGGTCCCCCCAGGCCTCCATAACAGCACTACCAGTAGCGAATATTCAAACCTCGAACCTTTGAGGGACATTTCAGGTTCAAACAAGACCACTTCCGCTAGTCTAATTGCCTCCATCTCTCTTAGTCTTTTTTTTTCTTCTATTGGTATAGAAGAATAGCTGAGAGGGTAATTTCTTGCAGTTCTAGAGTCCATGAGGTTTAAGGTTGAGGGGTCACATTGGTGAGGGTCTTCTTGCCTTGTGGGGAACTCTCTCAGAGTCCTGCTGCAGGACAGGTTATCATGAGGACAGCCCATACCAGAGATGGAGGCAGACTGCATTTTACAACAGATTCACTCTCAACCTGCTAACCAACCAACCCACTAATACAGGATTAATCCAGCCACAGAGTCAGAGCTGTCGATAGCTAACCGTCTCTTAAAAGCCTCGCCTGTTCCTGCCTCTCCGTGCTTTACAGTACAGATTAAATTCCGGTGTGAATTTTGGAGGGGACATTGAGGCAAAGCACTGCCTTTGTTCTTCTTTTTTTTTTTTTTTCTCATTGGAGACATAGGCGGTCCCAAACTCCCCTTCTAAGAACCATGGAGCCTTCACCAGCCTGCAGCTTTCCAGCGTTGTTGCGGCGAAATAAGGAAAGCCCAGGGGACATTCTTTGATCAGTTTTGATGCAGGGGCAGAAGGAGCAGCGTTGTGTTTCACCGGTTTTTAGTTATAACCGGAATGGGCTGTAATTGGCTTGGCCTTTCCTACTTGAGTTCTGAGGCCTATGCTGTTCACAGGGATAGGAGAACAAGGCACGGAAGGGCCCGAGCGAAACTTTAACTCTAGAAAGCGTCAACACCGAGTCCATGAAACAATGCCATCTACGAAAACTCTTCAGTGTCCCAACGCTTCTACCACACTTTGGTGAAAAGAGTGAACCTAACTTCCCAGAGGGCCACAGTCTCAGAGGCATGTATCAAATGTGTAGTGCTGTGCAGTCGATAGTGAGAGGACTGGGACCTGGCTTGGCTGGCAGAGTATTTGCTTGCGGTGTTGGAAGCCCCGAGATTGATTCCCAACACTACACAAAGAGAACATCAGGGCACACGCCTACAACCCCAGCACCCAAGAGGTGGAAACAGGAGAATCAGAAGTGCAAGGCCCTTCTTGGCTACATGGAAAGCTTAGGGTCAGCTACATGAGACGCTACAAGTATGGGAAGAATAAGAATGAACCTCATCACGCACGGGAAGCAGTCAGACCCTGTTCTTGTTTCAGCTTCCGCAACAGAGCAGAGATTCCAAGTGGCCCATTCCACTGGAAGACCTTAGATCCTGATGAGGCCAGTTCCTCCCGGCAGGGCATCAAATTCATTCCGGAGAACTCAGAAAATGGTTATTGAAGGAAGTAACCCTTGAACCCATCTTTCCAAGGAAAACTCAATTACGCTGTACATGCAAATCCTCTATACACAACTGGGTTTCTTTTCGTAATATATTACAACTGGACATTGGACGGGGGATAGAGGTCAGAGGTAAAGTGTTTGTCTACCCTTGGTTATGGGTTCCATTCTCAGTAACACACAGACACACAGACACACAGACACACACACACACCTAGTAGTTGTTATAAGGCTTAAACAACATCTGGTCTAGGAAGCAGAGAAGGCCCATTGCCTTTATGGATGAAGAGCCATACAGGACCTCTTCACTGCTGATATGGCTTCCCTAGCTCACAGTTCATCCTCCCTACATCCCCTTCTGGCCTTGTTTCCCCTTATCTGTGCAATTCATGGCATTGAATAGTAACACCAAATTCTCTTCTGGTAACTGAGATTATATATATATATATTGGTCCAGTGTGTATATATGTGTGGCATATGGTGCATGGTATGGCAGAGAAGGACAAAGGACACTGGGTGCCCTACTCTGTCACTTTCCACTTTATTCCATTGGGACAGAGCCTCTCACTGAGCCTGCAGCTGCACGGGTGGCTCCCAAACCCCAGGGACCCTCCTGTCTCTGCACCTACTCCAGCAACGGTAAAGGTAACAACGGCAGCACCACACCTGGGCTTTTACCTAGGTTCTGGGGGATTTGACCTCTGGTCCTCCTGCGAGCACAGTGAGGGCCTTCCCCCACACTGAGCCATCTCCATAGACCCCGACATTTTATTACCAAGCCCTCTTTCAGCCAAGTCACCAGTAACCAGCACACAGCCCTTGCCCCAAACTACATTATATTCATTCGCAACCTTTCCCTTGGCAGAAAGTTAAGATGCATTGAGCATGTCAGATCACGGTGGCAGGTTTCCTGTTTCCATTGTCCCTGACAGAGGCCACCTACAAGCCAGTGGTCTGAGGACTTGACCAAAAACAGAGCTAGGGCTGCTGGGCCAATAACAAAGCTGTACATTTCTCCCCGGAGCCCAGGGACATCCCAGCACAGGCTGGCTTGTTTGGTTTTGAGGTGTGCTGGGATGAAAGGCATCCTGGAAGCGGAAGGCTGGTCATTCATTCATTAATTAGGGCTGTAATTGAGGGTTTGTTCTGAAGAGCGATTCCTTTGAAATTACTTTCCATCAAACAGCCGGAGTCACAAAGGAATCAGATATTTGGTGCCCTCTCTATTTCCTTCCGCACAGGAGCGGTTTTCTACCAGGACCTGAGAGTCTGGTTTGTTCTGGCTCTGTCCTCATAAGTCTTTCTTACCCTGGCTGTAACAGGGTTTATCTGGAGCCGTGTGTGTGTGTGTGTGTGTGTGTGTGTGTGTGATTACTAGTTAGGTTTTTTTGTGAGTTGTTTTTTTTTTTGGGGGGGAGGGGGTGTCTTTAAATCTGTACCACACCGGTCTTACTGTGGACTTTAATCAGACCTTTTTTGGGAGAATGAACACTGGAAAAATTCCACTGCAAGATTAGAAAGACATCTGAGATGGCATGCTCCCCACCTGATGTCGAGGGCCACGCCTCCGGGTTACCACTGGGAGGGAGGCGGTAACTGGCATGTTTCTGTGGCCCTAAACAACAACAGCAGAGTGTGTTGGCCCAGGGGCACCTCGGGATTGACCAAGAGGAAACACACGTTGCACAATGATAGGATCTTGTCGGTACAGTTGTCAGAGAAGGAAACTCCCACAGCAAAGGGCATAAAAGCATCCCGGGCAGTCCGAGGCAGCTCAGTCCTGTAGCATCTGAGAGCAGAGACAGAGCACTGCTCCATCCCCAGATGGGACCATGAACACCAGCCACGGCTTTAGCCAGACCTACTCGGCCTCCATCCACAGCCTTGGAGGCAGCTGGGGGCGGCCTGGGAGCGTCCACAGAACTCCCAGCGTCCACGGAGGCGCAGGGGGTGTCCGCATCTCTCTCTCCTTCACCAGGCCAGGCTGCCTGCCTCCTGGAGGGTCATGGGCATCTGGAAGAGGGGGTCCCCTGCTAGGCGGAAATGGCAAGGCCACCATGCAGAACCTCAACGACCGCCTGGCCACCTACCTGGAGAAGGTGCGCGCTCTGGAGGAGGCCAACTCGAAGCTGGAAAGCCGCATCCTACAGTGGCATCAGGAGAGAGAACCCAGCCACAGAAAAGACTATTCCCAGTATGAGGAAAACATCAGCCACCTGCAGGAGCAGGTAAGAGACCCTGCAGCTCGCCGTGGCGCCGCTATACCCAGGGAGGGCTGGGAGAGGGGCGGCCGGTCAGCACACATGACAGTTTCCAGGGAAAATAGCAGAAGAACTCAAGTCTCAAGTACTGCTCACACAAATCCTATCGCCCTACCTTAAGTATGGACTCAGGAAAACCTGTTTTGTAAAACTAATTCCCTCCCTAAAGTGATGTAGAAAGTGCAGACAGCAAACATCTCAGAATCACTATAAACTATCTTTTAAAAAAAAAAAAAAAGCAAAAGGGCTTGGTTTCCCACACATTAAAAAAAGAAAGAAAGAAAAAAAAAGGTAAGCCTTAGAAGTGTCAGGCAGCCAGTTACTGTGCAGTATCACTTAAGATCCAACAATATCACCGAAATGATAAGGGCCGGTATGCAGGGTGCACCCTCGGTACACAAGGCCTAGGCGAGAATTGCTTTCTCATCACAGCAGCTCTGCTCCACCTCAGAGTCCTGGCGACAGTGTGGCTTTCTGTCAGCAAAGGGCTGAGTTACACTATTGTGTAGCTCATGCCTACAAAGCTGTCACACTGCAGCAGCAGGTTATGACATCCCTGGCTATTTTTCTAGAGGCTGTTAGAAGCTAAAGTTGCTCGCATTTCTGAGAAAGGCATATGGCTGGCAGGAGGCGGGGGGGGATGATAAAATTAGAATGAGTTTAGGTATTGGTGTGTTGGAATAGTCTATGGAGATATGCTTTTGAAAAACAACGTACTTCTCGACCAAACCTTCTGGGGTACCAGGATACAAGCAGAGGGAGGCAGATCATCTCACGGTTGTCCTCTTAACGCTACCAAGCTGCCCTCTGTACGAAGGAGTTCCAGGAAAAGCCCCTGCGGAGGCCATGATTTAACCCACCCTGGAAAGGCCATCACAGGCTTCTGATATTAATACCATATTATTTCCCAACATTCAGCCATCTTCGCTTGAATGTAGGAAGGACCAATCAAGATAACATAAATCTGTCCTTGTAATGACCCCTAATTATTGAATAATCGGCCTAATAACCGAGTGTGTAATTGCCTTAACTACAGAGTGCACGGTTGTCTCTGTGAAGAAAACAGGGTGACTCAACATCCTCACGGTCTTTTTTCCTTTAATGAAGTTGCTTTGGTTTTAGAATGGAGGGAAAAGATGATGTCTGCAAACGGAGAGCCGGGAGCAGGACTCCCAAGAGGAAACCAGATTATACCTGACCCAGTAACCTACACACTAGCAGGGGAGAGAAGCAGGGAGAAGAGGAAAGGAGCAGGAAGCAATTATTGGGCACCTTCTGTATGCCAAGCTGTGTGGTGGGTGTTAGATGTGCAGAGGGCTTTCTGCAACAGTGGGATGGAACTATATTATCTTAGTTCTCACAGATCTGTTAGGAAATCGAAGTTCACGTCTGTGGCATGACCTGAAAAGCCAGCAGCAACGAGCAGAGGTGGGTCTTTCCCTTGGGCCTGCTTCAAATGATCCAACTTCCACCTCAGCATGGCGCCAGCTCGCCAGCCTCACACAAAGAAGAAACGCATGTGCCATTCACAAGGACGACGCAGAGGGTTGACAGAAACTATTCACGCCACACACAGTTCAGAACATACCATTTGATTCTCACAGCTCTGGGAAGCAAATATTTTTATCTCCAACTTCTAGACCAGGAGACTGAAACTGGATGCTATGCTTTTCCCATTCATTTTTCTAAATTCTTTAGAATGGAATTGAAAAGAAAATAGAGTGGGTTCAACTATGAGGAAGGGCTGCTAGACTTTCTGTGGGGCCAGGACTCTGGATTCAGGACCAAGTAGGTCAAGCTTTGTGCTGTTCTAGACTTGTACTTTGGATGTTTCATCTTCTCTGCTTTGGGACAGTGACCTTTGGGGTTGAGGTTGTCTGTCATCCTGACTTTTGCCACTTGAAGATGAGGAAAACGGGTCCTAAGAGAGTCTTCAGCTACCTGGGGCTGGCCTCTCCTTGGTCCTGATGAAATGTTCTGAGTATAAGACATTTTGCCCTCATTTTACAATGTTAAATGCTACTCAGAAAGTCTGTGAGAAATGCAGTTCAAAAATGAATCCAAACCTTTTTTGAAACACAGAACTGGACGTAGCAATAGGAATAGCATCTATAAAACTTCCTGATGGCTCTCAGTATTTGGCATTTGGGAGCATGGTCAAATTGTCTATTTGCCTCTCCTGAGTAGGAGATTACCTACCTTAGGGCAATGACACTCTGCTAATACACTAACTAAATTTTCAAAAAAAATCAACTCAGGGCCTTGGGGAAGAATCTAGGTTGTAAATATACAATATATAGTTAAAAACCTATACCTTATGTATTATTTCTCAGTCCACCCCCATCCATTTATGACTATGAAAGATGTCTCGGAAATAGTGGCTGCAGTATAATCACATACTGAGTGAGAAGAAGTTTCAAATAGGAGAAGAAGGTTCAAATAGTGATGTCTCCATGGCTGAGAGGACTTACTTCTCTTGCAGAGGGACTAAGTCCAGCTCCCTACAAGATGGCTCACAACTACCTGCAACTCCAGTTCTGGGTGATCCAATGGCCTCCCTGTCCCTGCAGGCTTCTGAATGCACACATTACAGGCACATACACTCAGGCACATAAACATAAGCGTGTAAATCCACATATGCACTTACACATGTAGATAGGAGACAGTTGGTCTCGTGTAGCCGAGACTGGCCTTGAACTCACTATGTACCCACGGATGACCTTGAACTCCTTATCCTCCTGCCTTCACCTCTCCTGTCCTGGGATTGCTAGCATGTGCCATCACACTCCATTTGTGCAGCCGTGGGTATCGAACCCATGCTAGATAAGGACTCTGCAAACGGACCCTCATCCCCAGCTCTACCTGTGCTTCATGCTAACTACACTCCAAGGCTTCACTATCATGGACCATAAAGATGCTAGCTGGGGAAGGAGGTGGGGTAGAAATTACATACCTGAGGTGGGCTTCTCAATGGATAAGATAATGGATCACTTTAACTTGGAAAAAAACCAAATATGTTCCAGGGTGTTTTCGCTTCTCTGTTTCTGGTGCGTGCACAGCAAGGATGCTGAGGAGGGGGATGTCAATCAGCCTAGTAGCACGGATGAACACAGTCATTCCGTGCATGAGGAAGAAAGGCTTACCTCAGAGTCCTGCACTTCGGGGGTGGAGCTGCTTCTATTTTGCATAAGCAAATAATACCAAGAATAAGAAGCCTGGAAGGGAGAATACTGGTAAAAAAAAAAAAAAAAAAAAAAAAAAAAAAAAAAAAAAAAAAAAAAAACAAAAAAAAAAAAAAAAAAAAAAAAAAAAAAAAAAAAAAAAAAAAAAATCCGTAGAGCAACACTGTGGACAGGAATCCAGGGAGTACCTGCAGTTTCCACGTTCGGGGCAAAGTTCAATGAATCTTTCCAAGTGTCTGTAGCATGACAGGTATGTGTGTGCAATGTAATCTCATTCACTATCTTCTAACCCTCAGACCGCATCGGTCAGTAGTCATTATTATTGTTATGGATGAAGAAACTGAGACCCAGCCCTGCTTTTTGAGTTCCAGATCCAGCGTTCCCCCTACCTGGGAAGGCTGCTATTGTGCATTCACCGGACCAAATTCCAACTGGTTGGTGAAGCTTTAAATAGGGCTGGGGTTTTTAAAAGGCGCCTTTGTATTAGGGACGAGCTTTGCCCTAAGAAAAATCCTCTCTAAATAAAGGAATTAGCTGTACAAATACAATGGAAATGCCACGAGGTGCTGTCACCAGCTGCAAAGCTTAAAAGCAGGGATCTCTGAGGTCACCTGTTTCTAATACAAACCCCTTATTGAACAGTGAAGCCTGATACCAAGGCACAAGGGTGGACAGATTGCCCAGCCATGTGGCCTGAAAAGGAAGAAAGCCAGGTCCAAAAAAAAAAAAAAAAAACCAGAAACAAAAACAAAAAAAAAAAAAAAAACACCACAGTTCTATTCTGTCGCAATACTCCATACACAAGTATTATTCTACCTTTAGACAATGAGAAACTAACTTCATTTTCCCAAAGTTTGTGTGCTGTGCGGCATACATCAAATGTGGGCCCTTTCTCTAATCATAACGTCCTGTAGGCCCAATTGCTCAAACATCTCCAATGAGTCTTTGTAGTGTAAACAAAGCTCATGTAAATAGCGAGTGAGAGTCTTTAGCTGAAAGTTTTAATACTTGGAAAAATCTTAAGCGGCACCATTTCAACAGTAAAGAATCCACTCAGCTTGTGTTTTAATAGCTGTAATCAAGACAATCTCGTCACAAATATATTACAAACACATACACCTTCCCGAAGGTTCTATATGTTGTTCTAGTCACTCTGGGCAATAATAAAATAATAATAATAATAGCTTTATATGAAGACTATTGAAGTATACTTCAAACTAGCTCTCACACTGGCAATGTGACTGTGTCACTAGTTAGAATGATGTGTATCTAGGACCATAACTGCACTTTAGGAAAACTTACCATGTGGTCACAATGAGAAAAGACTCAGAGCTGGGAGATGGCCCCATGGGGGAGAGCAATTGCTGTACAAGCCATGAGGACCTGAGTTTTGATCCTCAACATTCATGTCAAACGCCAGAAATAACCGTGCGTACTGGTCACCCCAGCACTAGCCGGGAGACAGGAGGATTGCTGGGGGCCACTGGCCACCATCTTAACACCAGGTTCCATAAGAGACCCTGTCTCAAAGGAATAAGGATGAAAGTGATAGAGAAGGACACTTGAGGTTCTTATTTGTCCTTCTGAAGCACACGCTTAAGCATATGCACACACACACACACACACACACACACACACACACACACACTTCCTTTGAAAAAGAACAGTCTCATGACCCAAACTCCATTCACATTAGCAGACAGTGAGAGGGCTTTACCAAGGGGCACCGTCCTTTCTTACCCTACCTCACTCTTCCAGTGGTCACATCAGTCGTCCCCCCCCAACTCCAGTCAAACCTCCACGGCCACTTGCACTGCTCTCAGCCTTGGTACGGGAGGCCTCGTGTTGCGGTGGGAGCTAGTTAGCAGAGACTCGTAGCTGTTCAAACTGCTGAGAGTAAACGACCGACCGTGAGCGCCCAGCTATGCCTGGGTCATCCCTGTCGACCTGCCCCGCTCTCCAAGGCATTGAGGAAGAGTGCGCAGAGAGACTGTAAGAGCCAGAGGATGGGAGGAGTGCTGCGAGATGCTGTCATCAGGACATGACCTGGGTACCACACACATGAGCTCACAGCAGCAGCTGGTGACCCCTGGGAGAGAGAGAGTTATTTTTCTTTGGGGAGGGCTGTCGGCCAGGGCATGGCCTCACATCCATGTACAACACAAATTGGACTTAGTGGATTAGGTAATAATAGTAATATCAATAATAGTAAAGAAAAGGGGGATGGAGTTATTTTTTAAAAGACAGTGAAACCAACTGCAGACGTAGCACGTGTGATTTGAGTCTCATCATTCCGACGCAGAAAAGGAAGGTGTCTGGGGGGCTGGAGAGATGGTTCAGCAGTGAAGAGCGCTGATTGCTCTCTCAGAGGACCCAGGTTTGGTTCCCAGCACCCATATCGGATGACCCTCTGACTTCCAAGGGCTCCTGTACATACATGGTGCACTAGAGTCATGAGGACACACACACACACACACACACACACACACAGTAAATTCTTTTTTAAAAAGGAAAAGGCAGTGTCTGCACTGAAAGCTGCTGGTGGAGGGAACCTGAGCTCAGAACGTGCACCTGCCATGGGCGGATCCGTCCAACCAGAGTAATCCTCTGTGCGTATTTTACAGATAGTGAACAGTAAGATGACCAACGCTCACATGGTTGTGCTCATTGACAACGCCAGGATGGCCGTGGATGACTTCAACCTCAAGTAAGTCCTTTCTCCACCGACTTCCACAGGAAGGCCAGGCCTGATGGAACCGGCTGCCAAAGTCTGGCTGGGTTATAACTAAAAGGCATGACTAGAACCACATGCAACTAAAATAATCCAGGTACAAAGTGCACGTGATGGCAGGTGGAGATCTGAAAATGAACCAAGGATTAGGTGCTATTAAAAACATTTCTCTTTAGGTGTGGTAATTTCGTTAATCTTATTTAGAAAATAATATCTTTTTGTTTAAAAAAAAAAGATGCACTCCACGGTATTTAGGGTTAAAATGTCATAATGCCTGTAATTTGCTTTGAACATTTTTAGCCATGAGCCATGTATATTGGTACATATATGTACTCTCGGCTCTTAGGAGGCAGAGGCTCATGAGTGCAGCCTGGGATAGATGACAAGAACCTTATCTCAAAAACAAGCAACCAACAACCACAAAAAAAAAACCAAAAACACACACATTTTCATCAATGCATATAGACGAAGCGCATATGCAAGATATTCAGACAGAATAAAGGTATGTGCTGGCTGTAGAGCTGTGTGTGTTCCATTCTGTACTCGGTTTAAAAGTTGGCCTTGAGTCACCAACACACAAGAACAGCGTAGAGCTGATGTGCTAAATCCCTGCATATATGCCCTATACCAACAGTATCAGTGTCCTGTGTGCATGTCCTGTGAACATGTATGACGATGTCCTGTGTGCATCAGTCAGTCTCTCACTTACACCCGAAAAGTAAGAATGTCCTCTCTAAACCCAAGCGGACCCTGGCAAAGCCTTCCAACAACGGGTGTGCTCTTCCTCCCCTCCTCTCACCAAAGGTATGAAAATGAACACTCCTTTAAGAAAGACTTGGAAATTGAAGTTGAGGTCCTCCGAAAGACCTTGGATGATCTGACCATTGTCACGACAGACCTGGAACAGGAAGTGGAGGGAATGAGGAAAGAGCTCATCCTCATGAAGAAGCGTCACGAGCAGGTGGGGCTGCCCTGGGCTCCTGGGACCCAGCTCTGCTCCTAACTTCACGGTCCAGGCTGACCCCGTGGTAACAGAAGGGACCGCCACCTGAGTGCCAGGCTGAGTGTCCCTTGGGAGGAACCCCAGAAACATCTCATTTTTCCAACTTAGAGGTTATCTGCTCAGATGTTAAGGGAAACCACCAAATAGGGTCATAATAAGCAGCGATCGGCAAAACAACGGCAATTAATAACAATGATAGTTTGTCCTCACTAAACTGGTTAGTATAATACTGTAAGAATCAGAACTGGGAAGATGGCTCCGTGGGTATAGTGCTTGCTATATAAGGGTAAGGACTGTAGTTCAGACCTTCCCTCCCCGCAGATCCTACATGCTTGTCTAGTATGTAGACTGGACGCACACGTCAAGTTGGCTGGCTAAGAGTAACCAAATCAGTGAGCTCCGGGCTCAGCAAGAGACCTGCATCAAGGCCTCTTATATATTAAAAAAATAAATAAATAAATAAGTTGGAGAGCAATAAGAAAGACTTCCAACATCAGCTTTGAGCCACTATATCCATGACCACAAATGTGCATGCATACGTGCCAGCATGCATACGTGCCAGCATGCACGCCCTGTACACACATAGAGATGCCAAAAGATAATAAGTGGGACTGGGAAGGAGGCTCGGTCAGCAAAGTGCTTGCTGCGGAAGCTAAGGACACCAATCCAAACCTGCAGCACACTCATAAAAAACCCTGCTGTGGTGGCGCGCACCTGTAACCCCAGCTCTGGAGGAAGCAGAGACAGGGGGATGCCTGGGGCTCGCTGGCCAGCCACCATTGCCAGGTTGAAGAGTTCTATGTTCAGTGAGGGATTCAGAATTAAGGTGAAGAGTGACGGAGAGAGACACCCGCTTTAACCTCTGGCCTTCACAGGTACAGGGTTACATGTACTTCACACATATATGAACACATGCAGAGAGAGACAGAGACAGAGACGGAGCATAAATGTGTTCTATTGAACTTCCATCCTTGGTCGCACTTGCAGAAAAGGAGGACAATGGAATAAAGAGGATGTTAAAACTCAAGACTCCTACTACTCTGTAGTAGAAGCATCTAACTGACTTACAGAACTATCGTTCCTCTTGAGTCCTTGAGGCTGCAGAAGGACAGAAAGATGTTTTAGGCAAACCTGGTGGCTTCTGAGCATCAAAGACCCCAGTTTTGAACAGCTGTGTAGACAGTGGCTGCTAGCTACACCTCCTGTGCCTGCTTGGTTTCCATGAAAAAGCCTAGCGAAGCATAAGGCATGGCATTCCTTAATCCTCTCTAATGGCTTGCTTTCTGTTGCTAAACTAACTGCTCCCCCAAAGCTTTGGCCCAAAGCTGGAAATGTTGATCACTTAACTGCATAGACACATTACTAATGCACACGTGCTTGAGAGAGACCTATCTGCTCTGGACATGCAATCGTTTCTGGAATATTCTCAACCAAGAGATTAGGTCAAAGAAACCATCTGAGTAGGTGCTGTTATGGTTTGACCATGAAATGTTCTCCACCAGCTTGGGTTTTGACACTCAGTCCCCATTCAAGGGACTGTTCTAAAAGTCCTGGAGACTTTTGGAGGTGGGACGAATCTGGAGGAAGTAGAACACAAGGGTGGGTCCTTGTGGGTGTTTTGTTTCTGCACAGGTGAGCTTGCTCGTTCTCTCTCTGTTTCTCTCTCTGTTTCTCTCTCTTCCTCTCCTCCCTTTTTTCCCTCCCCCTCCTCCTGCCCCCTCTCTCTCTCCCTCTTTCCCCCACCCCCAATCACTCTCTTCCTCTCTTTTCACTGTCCCTTTCTCCCTCTATTTCTCCTCTGTCTGTCTTCCTGCCTTGCTCTTTTCTGTCCTTCAGGAGGTGAGGGAGTCCCTCTTCCATGTGTTCTCTGAGTGTGCTACTTTTCATTGCCATGACTCTGACAGACATCTAAGGGAGGGGAAATTAAGCTTGACCCACAGTTTCAGAGGCTCAATCCGTGGCTACTTGACCCTTTAGCTTGGTCAGTATGTCACCACATCAGAACTATAGGGGGAGACTATAGCCACTTCATGGCTACAATAAATAGACAAGGAAGGGACAGGGATAAGATCTCTCCAATGACCCAACCACAGGGACTCACTAGCAAAGCCCTACCTCCCAAAGCCTCCTGAAGCAAACCAAGAAAACGCTACTATCTGAGAGCCAAGCCCACAGCTCATGGCCCACTGGGGGAGAGTCTTTATACCCAAACCATAATACATGTGTCATGTTGGTCTTTATTTTATAAAGTTTTAGTGAGAATATGCACACGATCTTTAGTCAGTTTGTAAAAATAATCATGAAGTTGCCACACCAGTGAGAGCAGCAGTCACATAAACAGAACCATTTACCGGTGCCAACTAACACAGCAGTCCAACCTTCTGATTGTCACGGGCCAGGTCATTTTCTCTCTGTGTTATTAAACAGGAAATGGAGGAGAATCATATGCCAAGTGACTTCAAGGTCAACGTGAAGGTGGACACAGCTCCAGGGGAAGATCTGATTAAGGTCTTGGAAGATATGAGGCAAGAATACGAGTTAATAATAAAGAAGAAACATCAAGAGTTGGACACCTGGTTTAGAGAGCAGGTGATAGAAACGTGAGCAGACCCCCCCCCCATTCCTCTATGGCCACATGTCCCAACACTGAATCCTCTGCTTCTGTTTGCTTCACAGTCAGCAGCCATGTCCCAGGAGGTGGCCAGCCCGGCACCTGTTCAAGGCACCCAAAGTGATATCCATGAGCTGAGGCGAACATTCCAGGCCCTAGAGATTGACCTGCAGGCACAGCACAATAGGGTGAGTTGAGCTCGGAAAACCCTGGGGCCTGTAGTCTCCTCATTGATCCTTCCTCAACCTTGTCCCCTGGCCCCAGCTTCCCAGTCCCCTTGGGACTTTCCACTTGCCATTCAAAATGTTCATGATGAGAACGAGAAGAAATGTATGTTCAGGGTAGCTCTCTCCATCCCATGCTGTTCATTGTCTTATTGGCCTTCCCAGGTAGGTCTTAACCTTCTCCTTCTAAAGATAAGAACACCAAAGCTCCGGACAGTTAACGAATTTGATAAACACAACTACTGAGTTACTGGTGATGAGACCATGTGATTTCAAAGGTGGAGGAGACTCTACACACCCCCAAATTAACTGTCAGCCCTCACTTACAATCAGTATGTTCCCCCAAACTCCAATAAAAGGAAATTCTGGCACTAGTACGACAGGTGGCACGTTTAACCCTGGATGACTCCAATGTGCTGCTCTGTCCACTATGTGTGGGGCACGTCATCCACCATCCTGCGTATGTTCTCAAGCCTAAGCCGTTTCCATGTTCATCCTGGTTTGGTAAGATGCTTTGCATACTGCTGCATCCAGGACCCACTGTGTATAATCTATCTTCATAACGACTGAACCGTCTGGTCATTCATCAATGGTAGCTTTTGAGCGACTGCTCTACGGCACTTTGAATACGCATAATTAGCTCATCCGTTCGGCAAAAACATATGGCCAATAACCTTGTTTTGTGAAGTAATGATGCCGGACAGACATTAAAATGTGCACTGCCAGCTAGGCATGGGGGTGCATGCCTATCACCCCAGCACTCTAGAGGTCGCAGAAGGAGGACCACTAGTTCAACACATCCCCAGCTGTGTAGCGAGGAAGGGCCCTGTCTCCCGTACGAATATGCGTTGTCAAGGTGGTGATGGCCACTGAAATGATCACAGCGTGACGCAGTGTTCAATGTATTTCAACAACTCCATTTCACAACATTCCTGGGGTCAATAAGGCTCTGAAGCCCGTGTTCCTGTGTTCCCCTGTCTGGCACCAGGCTTAACACTAAGTGCCAAGTAATCAAATTTACGTGTGTCAGGTGGGGAAGCCTGCGCAGAAGAGAGGAAGAAAGCCTGTGGACAGAGGTGCCACCATGAACACACTGAGCATGAGACAGCAGAGGAAAGGTCTTAGAGAGGTGGGGGTGGGGGTGCTTGATGTGGCTATGGGCTGGAGAGGAGGGGGGAGCTCCGGGTGAAAGGAACAGCAAATGCAAAAGACAGGGGCAGGCGGATCGCTGTGAGTTCAAGACCAGCCAGGTTTACAAAGTGAGTCCAGGACAGCCAAGGCTACACAGAGAAACCCTGTCAAAAAAAAAAAAACAAAAAACAAAAAAAAAATTAAATTTACATTATCTTAAGTACATAGGGTTGTCTGATGATGATGATGTATGATACTGGTCATGGGCATATTTATCCTAAAAATTTACTCACTGCTCATCTTTAATTCAAGTGTCGTTATGTAAAACCACGCATTCTCTGTGGCACACGACAGCCCTACATCAGACCTCTCTCTCTCTCTCTCTCTCTCTCTCTCTCTCTCCCTCCCTCCCTCTCTCTCTCTGGGGATTCAGCCCTCTCCCTCCTGAAGTTCTCCATCTAACCAGAAATTAAATGGAAACATTAGAAATAATTCAAAGCCAGGCATCTGGGGTTCCATCCCCAGCATGCCAGCATTGCTGGAGGGATACACTGGACTTGTCAAGAGCTCCCTGACACAATGGCTTTATGCCCAGAGCATGGCATCAGAAGACCCAAGTCCCAACCCTGTAAGTCAGCCTGTTTCTCCCCAGCGTCTGCCAAGACGCCTAGCAGAGTGGTTGGGGTAAATTAACACTGAGCGAGCCCGTGCTGCCGAGGCCTCCAGTGGACTAGCAGACGATCATTCCCTCTTTCAGAAAGCCGCTCTGGAAAACATGCTGACAGAGACGCGGGCTCGGTACTCCTGCCGTCTCCAGGACATGCAGCAAATCATCTCCCACTATGAGGAGGAGCTGATGCAGCTGCGCCAGGACCTGGAGCGTCAGAACAATGAGCACAGGGTGCTGCTGGGCATCAAAAGCCACCTGGAGAAGGAAATTGCCACCTATCGCCAGCTCCTGGAGGGAGACGAAAGGTGAGGCAGTAGCGCTGGAACCTGCTGGATAGGCTGCTCCCAAGCATGCAAACGGATGTGTCCCAAGGGTCTCAGCCACAGTAGCGAAAGAGAGAGAGAGAGAGAGAGAGAGAGAGAGAGAGAGAGAGAGAGAGACTCATTTCTCTGGAAGATTCCTCTATCTGGTCTTCCACTAAGTCTGAGCTAAAAGGCCGGTTCTCCCTGGAAGTGAGGACATGCTCTCAGAACAGTTAAACTGTTACTTTGAACCATTACTTTCAAAGCAGGGCTGGGGGGAAGATGAGCAGGTTTGACTATTGTGGTTGGCCAATAGAGTTCACGCAACCTGAGTTCAAAAGTAAAAACAAAAGGCAGGGGAAACATTTCGGACTAAACAGCAAAGGAAGAGTCGTTAGGAGAGTCAAGATTTCCAAACTGGTATTTCTGACCATCCCGGGAAACAATAGGTATTGGTGAATAGGTCCATGTGTGTCCTATCTTCCCAAAAAAAGCTAAAAAGTAGCAATCAAGCAAAGGAAGCGCCGATGGTTGCTAAAGTGATTTTCCTTTCTTTCCCCCCCCCCCCCCCCTTCATAGGACAGTGGACGAATCTGAGTCAAGAATGAAAGGTAAATGAGAATCTGTTTCCCTGTCTGACTCTCCCAATTGTTTTGGCTAATCGGCCTGTCTACCCATTCCATGTTAGTCAGTCAGACTTCTTACTCTGCTCCCAAATGCCCTGAACTCAATTTTTATTTTCCTCCCAGCCGGCTAGAAAATTTCAATTTAGTTAACATATTAGGTACCAGAGAGCAAAGCAGGCCCTGGTTATTTTAGCAGTGGAACACTGAGGAGTTCTTATTCAAAGAGCTTATGAATAAACGATTTCGGGGGTTCTTTGCAAGAAGAACTTAGATGAAGGTGGTAACTGATAGTATTCTCTCTCTTAACTAAGGAGGTCTGTTAACTAGACTCCTAGAAAATTATATCACGTCAGATTCCAAACCTGACTGTGTTGAACCACAAAGGTCTCCATGAGATTTGAATAGAGAATTGTGAAGGATGTGCAGAAGCTGAGAATGATAAGAAGTTGATAAGCACAGCGTATCCTTCTCTTGAACAGGCACACTGTCTTACCGCATGCTAAAGACAGACAGAACAAGCATTTCTTAGAGGAAGGAAAGGGACAGGAAAGAGAAAGAAACAACGGAAGCTTTTGCTTTGATCCAACTCAATATTCTCACACCTTTGACCCTGGAGCTGTATTTTCTCAGATGACTGAAAGCACAGCAGAAAAGTTTAGCACAGAGCAGTGCCGACCACGCATCCCATTCTGAACAGATTCTTTAATGAAATTATCCTAAGGCATTGGAGATCCCGAGAATCTGAACTGAGCTAACCATTCTAGAGCAGCTGACCTTACTGCCCTGTTTCTGAAAGTCTGGACAGATGCCGCAGAACCTCTTCCTTGCTATGTCCAGGGTGGGAAGCCCAATACTTAATGTACAGTCTACCATGTGCTGTGCAAGAGGCCTCAGTTTTTACAGTCCCCCTCCTACATTTTTTAATGGTTTCCATGCTTCCCTATGGCCTAATACCATTTTATTGGTGTCTCAGGAAAGCACTTATTCAAATAAGGCATGATGTGTTGGGAAACGGTGGCCGTCCCTCTCCTCACCCACCCATGCCATGCTTCTAGAACTTAAAATGAGGTGTCCTGAACGGCATGTAGTGCCCTGTGCACTCCAGTGTGTAGGGAGGAGCCACAGAGTACTCATCAAGGGCTGGTGGCCAGGGGTCTGGGGTGTGTGTACCAGGCCCCCACTCTCCAGAAAGTGGCTTTGTTCAGAGACCTTCGCTTTGTGAGGAAGCGGGGCTTCCGTCCATGCGAAGGCCCTTCCTCCCTGTGGCAGAGCCTACCTTATAGCTTGGTGAGAATTACACAGGACACAGAAACCTGTGGGAGAAGGGAATTGAGCATGAACACAGCGCAAATGGTGGGCAAAGCCTGGCAGTGACCTCTTCGGTGCCCTTTCCCCCAGGATCTGCCGCTTCGACCATCAAGACCATTACTCAAGAGAGCATCAATGGAAGAATAGTCCTTTCTCAGGTGAATGAGATCCCAAAGCATGTGTGAGACCAATAAGTCTCTGCCTGTTGTAAAAACCATGTTCCCCCTATGGAAAGTCCTTGCCCAGACACCAATGGGTGAGTCTCAATGGGAACCCTTGGAGTTTTCGGATTCAGAAACTTTATTCTCTAATGGTCTCACCAGACTTCCCATGATGCTCTTCATATATTGCTGAAATTTTTGAGTGAAAGAAGCAGTTTATGAATTAAAGCTCTACTCTCCTTGTACAATGTTTGGAGACCCATCAATGTGTACCTAGTTTATAGCCAATAAACTTCCATACTGGTTGCATCCTCTCTTTTCCTATGTCATCAGGCAAGATAGGGCCTCATGGTCTTTCTACTGAGATGTTTGTGAAGCATGTCCGTGAGCAATCCAGAGGGATCTCCAAATGTCTGATGTGTCCCCAGTAGCCAAGCACCTGGCAGAATGGTCACCCCGAAGCTATGCAAACAGGACTGAGGTGTAGTTCTTGAGGCTCTCTAGACCCTGCTAGCAGAAAAGGGAGAAGGACACAAAAAAAGCAATCTCTGAAAGCTTCCCTGAGGGGTCCAAAAGTATGTGAGGACATAGATGAGTTCACAGTTGAAAGCTAAACCTAAGAAAGGAGACTGAGGGGGAAATGTCATTACACAAGAACCTTAAGATCCAAATTACAAATGCCAGGGTCCAGAGACCTATGGTGATCTATGGCTGGTGGCTAACTTTCTGGGATGATAACCTTGAGAAGAGGCCTTTGTCTCAGTTCCTATTAGAGTAAGTCATTGTTGTAGGAACCAGAGGGGCTCTGCTGGGGAAAAGGACCTAGAAGACCACAGGTCTGTAAAGGTATCATCAGAATGTGGGGACATGAAATGGAGAGATATCAGCGGCTTAAGAGACTCCAGGCCCAGGATGGGCAAAGTCACCCATTTTGCGAATAAATAACCTGATGCCCAGAGGAGGGAAGATGTTTACCAAATGCTCACCGGGCTGGGGCTGCCGGATGGAGGTCCGTGTCTCGTGGTCCCTCCAGCAGTTGTTAAACTAAAAGAGGGTATGATTGCATCCCTTTGCCATCTGCCACATTCGCAGCACCTCGGTTTTATCACCATTTTCATGCTTGCTTTCTTAATTTTTTTTGAATGTGTATGACTGTTTTATCTGCATGTGTGTCTGTGTGTCACGTTTGTGCAGCACCTGAGGAGGCCAGAGGAGTGTTATCTCTCCCAGAACTGGAGTTACGGATGTTTGAGGGCCGTAAAGCGGGTGCTGAGAACTGAACCAGGATCCTCTGGAAAAGCAGCCAGTAATCTTAGCCACTGAGCCATCTCTCCAGCCCTTTATAGTCTCTCTCAAAGGACTGCTTTTGATGACTTCTAAGCTGAGAATCTGTTAAACCTGTTTTCTCTTTAAAGCAACAGTTGATGTATCTGATCTTTAATCCTCCCAAAATAAAAAACCATTTAACAATCTAAATGAAAAAAAAAGAAAGAAAGAAAATAGGCTGACCACATCACAAGAAATAAAAATTTACTGATTTAACTAAATCCCTTAAATTTTTAAGTTTACATTTATGATTTGACCGTTTTCAGAGAAGCTGAAAGAAAGCAAATACACAAACCTCACCAAGTGACTTCTCTCTGTGCTGTATTTACCTATGGTGGTGTTATTTGAAGTAAAAATGAGTGCTCATTAAAGTTGATTGGTTATCTTTCACTATGTCATTCTACTAAAAGAATCTATTTGCGCCAGCAGGGCACAGATATGCAAGAGGATCCAAACATATTTTTTAGCACCCATTCATTCTGCCAGTCTAGACATTCTTCCTTAAACTATAAAGATGTCAAAATATTTCTTAACGCCATCTTTTCCCATGCCACTAAGGGTCTGTATCCACAGATTCCACCAACCACATGTCAAAATTATTTGAAAAACTAACTGGATTTGTATTGAATGTGCACAGACCCTTTTTTTTGTCACAATTCCTTGAATAACAGTATACAATTTGCCTTGCATTGACTATTACAAATAATGTAGAGCTGGCTTAAAGACTATGGGTTATATCAAAACGCTATGACATTACGTATGGTGGACTTGGCCATCCATGGATTTTAGAAATCACCCTTCATCTAATCCTTTTCAAACACCAAGGGACAACTGCATACATTCTTCTCAAGAAGTTGGAGTGTTCCTCAAAAAAAAAAAAATCCTGCCTGCCAGAGTTGAGAGTACAACTCTGTGCTAGAGTGTCTGCACCCCACAGATAAGGCTGTGGGTTCAATTCCCACCACCAACCAGGTAAGGGCTCCTGGAAGAAAGGTGCATGCCAAGCCAGAGTAAACCTTGTAAAAACCAAACTCAGAAAATAATCGTTAATCTCACAATCACAGTTTATACATAATTTGGGAATAGTAAATAATCTTCATATAGTGGCCTAAAATTTTATTCATTTTAATGCTATCAGTTAAAGTAGCTAGTGTACCCCAGTTTTCAAAAAAAAAAATTCCAAACAAATTGGAAGGATAATCACCATCAGTAAAGAAATGCCTCTCTTTCACAAAGAGGCAGGTCAAAAAATTAATCCACCTAGAAAAAGAAACAATTCCATGAGTTTGGGCTCCACGTCCCATAAACGGACCTTTATCCTGAATTTAAATCATTCCAAAAACTCTTTCAAAATACCCATTACAAATTGATTAATTCTTGTACATGGAGGCAAGCTCTCAACTAGAGAAGTTTCTGTTTACATTTGGGTTGAACAAACACACACCCAACCCACATGAAGGAGGAGGTAATAAATCCTACTGCTTTCATTCCAGAAACACTTGAGATAAATAGCAGTTACTATGCTGCTACCACAACCCGACTCAACAAACAATTGCCCAATCCAGAGCTGTGGGAAGAATTATTTTGAAATTTCATATTTATATTAATATAATTTAATCTATGTTATTTTGGAAATTAATATTTAGTATCATAAAATCATTGAGGAAATAGATCCATTTGACATTGTTCAATCAAATAAAAAAAAGAAAACCTGTATATCCCCCATATTATTTTCACCCTGTCAAAGCAGGCAACTGAATTTCACAAAGAATGTCAGCAGGGTGCGGTGGCATGTGCCTGAAATCCCAGCACTGAGAAGGATGAGGCAGGAGGGCCACAAACATGAAGCCAGTTGGGCTACATAACGAGAGTCCATTTCAAATCTTTGTAAAGTACCTTATAAAAATTCATTGGTCAGGAATGCAACAACCGTATTCTGAAAGAAGTAGCCCCAAAGCCGAGTGAGGAAGAACTCTGATGGTGGAAACCAGAGTTAGACACAAGAGTCCTTGGCAGCTTCTTTAACTCAGGGATCCCAACAGTGGCTGTCCTCAGGCTCTCCAGAGGAGATTTGAAAATCCTAATGCTTAGAGAAAGTTCTGCATCAGCTCAATCCAGATCTGGGATGGGTGGACAAAGGCCTTCAGCATCTTTTCCACCGTTCCTCGTGATTATAATGTCCAGACAGATGTGTAATCCTGCTCTCCCAGCAACTTCAGGAAGCACATTTTTGGTTTACCTAGAACATTTCCCATATCACGAATTTGTAGTAAGCTATATGGTTAGTGACAAATAACAGAAAAAGAAAAAAAAAAAAAAACTTTCTTCAAGTCACTCCCAAATACTTGTGGTTCAAGGTCCATTGACAGAGCTCAAGGGAAGAATTTCCAGAAAACGTTGCTGAAGAAAAACGGGAAAGAGAAGTGACACTTGATTTCAAAGAGTGTTTTCCGAACCCTGCAAACACATCCCCGCCTACGTAATCAAGCATTTGGTCCAGGTGTTCGACTCTTGCAGTAAGTTCCTGTGATAAAACATGGCCGTCAACATGTTCAGCCTCAACAAGAGGCTGAACAGCCTCTTCCTTCCTGCCACTACTTTGTTGCTGTTGTTGTTTTCACAGCAAAGTAAAATAGGGCATATGCAAAGAAGAAACTCAACAGAAAAAAATCTAGCCTGGCCAGCTAACAAAACAAAAAACAAAAACACTTTCCTGTTTGGAAGACTAGGAGACTAAAATCTAGCCTCATGGAGAGGTCTCTTAGGAAATGGAGCAAAGCCCTGGGAGCTCTCAATATATGACTTGGGCTCCCCTATTCCAGATAGATCCCAACCATTCATGTCAATCAACTGAGACCCAAGACATCATGAAGCAAAAACAGACAATATGGTCCTTTAATTCCTAGCACAAAAATAAACTGAGAACAAATTGTTGTTCAAGCTGCTAAAGTCCGAGTTGTTTCTTATACGGAAATAAATAAAGCAGTAAAGCAGAGTGTCTGAAGTACAAAAAAACATTATTTTCCCAGTGACAATAGCTGATTTAAGGGGGGGGGGGAAAGCACATTCTCATTCCACTCAGGCTGACGGTGACCTTTAGTCATCTTAACACTTGAATGGACCTTTACAGAAGTCTTAGTTCAGTAGCCATAGGTGAAGCATCAAAGAGATAGAGGCTGAGGTTAGCCGCCCTCAAAGACTGCAGAGAATAAAGTCACTTCCCCTGTTTGTTCACAGATGCCCTCTCTGCCCTGTCACATGAGGGGACAAGCAGGGTAGACTCCAGCCTGAGCAGGAGAGAGAGCTCCTGCTCCTCCCAGAGCATGCTGAGATGTCCAAGTGGCTTCTTATCTTTGAGTTTCAGTTTTTCCAAATGTGTTTCTCTTCCTCATTCCACAGACATTAACAACCTCCCTATAAATATTCATGCTCACAGTGTCACACAGATGGAGTTTCACTGCACAGGCCCTCCTTCACCGGGAGGATGCCAATCAGGGTTAAGATGATCACGACCGTCCGTGGCTCCCAGTTACAACATTAATCGGTTGTTAAAACCTTGGGATTAAGCACTCCTTCATTCTGGGCACGACTCTTCACAATGGCCTGCTCCAAATGCTGGGCTCTCGGGATCGTTAATCAATAAGTGCTTTTAAGATTTTGAGGGTTAGCAGACGCCCTGGAGTGTTTCCTGGCCATGTTGATTTTCTGACTTGACATGCCTGAGTTCATCCCTGGCTGTGACTCAACCCATCTCGTTTGCTCTCTTATAACCACTGCCTGTCACATCCTTCTAAGGAGTATTAGGAAGTTTCCAGAAGGCTCAGGGAGCTCGTGCCCCTGCCATAGTGCAATGGGCTGGCTAACTCCACATACCTTTGTCTACAATCTCCGTGCGTGTCTCTGTGTGT